GGGGGAGGGAGAGAGAAATGGAAAAGTGACCTAGATCATCAAGGTTTCCTTAACTGTTCTGTAGTGGAAAAGAATCAGAATGCACTCAAAAATAAATAAATAAAGGAGAGAGACAGAGAGAGAACAAACCCCAGATGATGGCTGTCCTTCTAAGCCTTTCCAATCACAGGCTAGCAGTTAAAATAATACTCACCTACTGGGTATCCAGTGGAGTTGATCTACCTTTTCTGCTGGGAGGTTCACGTCTAGTCAAGCCTGATTAATCTGATGCAAACCCTGAATGATCCCAAATATAACACATAACAGCTACACCTGTTTATCAAGCCTGTTCATTTCCCTTCCCCTATTCCTCACTGAAAAGGAGCATTAATTAAAACAGTAAACAAACGAGCTCCTATTCTAAATCAGAGCTGCAGGCAAAGGAGAGATAACTTAGGCTCTTGAGAAGGGGGATTTTCAGTTAATTTATGAATCTACTGTCACTCGCAGGGCCAGGGAGCGTACTTAGCTGGGAAATTGAAGCAGACAGGCTTTGTCTAAACACTTCTTATTTTGCAGAATATCTTTTTTTTTCTATTTGAATTTTTAATCGGATTCCCGTTACCTTTTAGGAAGGAAATTGCTACATTTTTCCAATTTTCTTGTGACTCACACATCTTCTTTATAAAAATGAAAATAAAAAGGGTGTTTTAAAAACTGGACATTTAAAACTGAGGGATGAACATACTTATATACTTCTGTTACTAGGGTAAATGTTCCTGCATCTATTAGCAAATTGTACTAAACTATGTTGATGTGCTGTGGATTCATCTGCATCTCTTATCCTTCTTTAGTATTTCAGTAGCACCATAAGTATGCATATTGCTTTACAGATTAAGATCCTGACCCTGGAATGATGTCCCTGAGTGGATCCCAGAGCCCATTTTGAAACCCAGAGAGATTCATGTGTGTGCTGGAGTCTGGGTAGATGGAGTTACAAAAGGGAGCCAGGGTGGAGCTTACAGTTTAAGGCCCTGATCTTGCAGGCTGTTTTGCATATATGGAGTGTCTGATCATGTGAAACAACTTGAGTCAATGGGGCCAAACAGTCCAGACCAATTTGTCTTTGTCTCTTCAGAACTCACAGTGACTATAATGGGAGTGCTGATGGGAATAACACAGGCAGGATTTGGCCTGATCCTGGCATTGCCACAGACCCTCCATGCACAGAACACTCAGGATCTGGTTCAGTGTGAAACAACAACCTGAAGGGCTGATCTTTCTATGATCACACAGGCAAATCTCCCACACTAATGAGGTTGCAGGGTCAGGCCTTCAATTAGTCTATACATGATTAAAATGAAGACACATAAATATACTTAATTTGTTATTTAATAAACATAGAGAAGCAAAGATGAAGAGGGGGAGTTCCCAAGGCCCAAAGAAGACTTAGGTGTCACGTTCCCATTGAAAATTAAGGGACATCCCCCTTTATTGATTGAAAAATCTTCCACCAAATAGCTGCAAAGCAACCTTGAGTTTGATGTACTCTACCATGGTATGAGCTGCTTTTCCAGCCCTGAGTGGAAAGTCTTTAAACTATGTACAAAACAAAGTAATACTGAAATGGAAGTTGGTTTACATTTCTACCAGCAAGTGTTTGTCATGCAGACGGCTGTTTCTCTCTGGAATCAAACTATTGTTTTGCAACTTACAGTGCTGTTGGGACTCTCTACCTAGGGTAATTAATATGTTTGATAGATGTTTTATTTTATTCCAATCTGAGATTTAGAATTCTTCTGTTTGTGAACTCACATTAAAATTGTAGTTTTCATAAAATTATAGACAGTCCAAGAAAAAAAATTCTGTAAATCTTTGTCATTTCCTATGTAAACCTACTTTAAAAATACAGGAATGTCTTGTACATATTTAAAGTCATTCTGCTTTTCCTTTTTGGCATATCCAGTAATCATGTTGACAAATTAATGGTAGAGAATTAGTTGTACATTAAAGATTTAAATTATATTATGCAGCACATTGTCATAAAATGATATAAAACAATAGGAAAATAAATGTAAATTAATTCAAGTTACTGACATGTAAAACACTAGACTGACATCTGTACACTTAACAACTTGCACAGCTGCCATACTTAAAACATAAAGTAAATGTTAGGTACAAACTCATGAGGAAAATAGTATATAGCAAAATCTGTGTTCTTCTACAAATGAAGAGTGAGGAGAAGGAAGTATCTCCCCGGTGTTTATGTATGACTGTTAACGGTCTGGCCAAATTGTAACTTGGGAGCTAAATAAACAAATGTGTCCAGAATCATTTCATTTAATTCAAGGGAACCCTTTAGAAGTTTCCTTTATCAAACCGAATGAATAACGTGTAATGACAATACTCAGGGTTTTGTATTATCCCACCATGAACTAAAAACTGTGAGTTCCTGTAAATACCAATGTGAAATTGTTTCCAGGGGCACAGCCTCAGACTTACAAGGGGTTTGCAAACTACTGTGCAGACTAATTATAAGTATTCAGTTTCCTGGTATGAAGGAATGTATTACCTGCAGCAAAGGATGCATAAAATATCAGGAACCAGAGGCACTAGTAGGAAGCCAAATACCAGAGTGAATTCAAGCCCTAGCTCTAGGTTTATACCCACAATCCAGGCCCATGCTGAGACACTAATCACTTGGCCATTCTTAGTGCTGTTGTCCAATCAGTCCCTGAATAGCAAAACTTCACAATGCCGTGTATGAATTAGAGGGGAATAAATGTGGGTGCAGACTTTTTTTTTTTTTTTTGCAACAATACCTAACTGGGCCTTTCAGCAAGGACAACTAATGGACAAAAGCAGGGCGGAAATTGCAGTAACTTTTGGAGGCCCTTGCAGCTCTTGTCAATAAGAGTTAGCTCCCTAATGGTAGCATTGGCCTCTTTTTTGTACGCTGAATCAATTGTTCACAAGGAAAAAAGTCATAAAAATTAGACATTTTTGTTGTACTTGACTTGGAAATTATGGCAATTCCCTGAATCAAACCAAATCTATTTATCTACTTCTTATCTTTTAGGCAGATTTGGTAATTGTTTAGGCCACAGTAAAGTACTTACATTTTTTCTCCCAAAAGAATAAAAACGCTTCTTGAGCTATACAAATGTCAGGTCTGTGTTTTAAAATTTAGCTTTGTTTACCCAACAAAATGGAATTCATTATTGTGTAAAAGTGGTTCAATTTTCTGACCTTTTTATTCAAAATGTTGAGAGTATCAAAAAGCTCATTTGAAGGTCACAGGTTTATGTATCTATTCTCATAAGTGTTTTAGAAATTCATATAGAGGACATAAAAGGTGGAATATGTGAAAACATACTGTTCATTGTTTACCCTAACCTTGCCATGATTATTAGATAAATGAATGTAGCAAAATGGCATTAAAAGCCATTGTGAAAAGTGTATTTTTTTTCTTTTTTGCCTGAAGACTGTTCATTTTAGCCCCGATCTACAAAGGTCAATTTCTAATTCTTTTCACTGGGTAGTGTATATAACTTCTGCATTTCAAGTCTATAAAAAGCTTTTGCAGTGTTTCCATACTGTAAATAGCAAATTATTTCATTGCAGTTTGTATTTTATATATAAGTTTTTCAGGCATTTTGATAATATTGTCAGGTTTTAAAAGTTGAAAACCTTTTCATTTATTATTTAAACCCAGATACATACTCTGGGTAATTTCAAACTAGTAGAATTAATCACTGGCTTTTCTTAAAACAAAAAAAAAAAAAAACTTTTTTAGAAAGACATTTAAAGCAAAATTATTTTATTTTTGTATCTTCAGATTATTTGAAAAACCTTTGCAGTTATTTATCTGAAGCTGATATTTAACTGTTACTTATTCTACTAATTTCTATCTTTTGTTAAAAGAACTTTCTTAGCTAGATCTTGTTGCTCTGTTCCACGCTAATTGCAGCTTACATTATATAAATGGCTTTGTAAAGAAAACTACAACCCTAAGCCTTGAAAGTTGCATGTTTCTATTTGCTCAAACTTGATGCACTTATTTTGAGAGGGTCATTGCAAGGAAAGCTGTGTAGGCACTAAGAATGTCCTGTATAATAAGCTTAAACAGAACCTTTTGTTAAGCCTAGTATTCTCAGGCCTGAAAATTAGGCCTCCTTTTTCTAACTGCAAGCTGAAGTGGTTCATTACTGCAGCTTCCTTCTCTAGGCCTTGGCCCAGCCATTCCCAGTACTCAAGGTCTGTAACTTCCTTAAAAAGGAAGAAGGAAAACATGGCACACAAAGGTCTTGTTAGCACTTCCTATGTGAAATTAGCAGCTTTCTAAAAGGTACAACTCCAATTACCTCACATTGTGGGGACGCGCACAAACCTAACAATGAGTCCAGTCTTGCAAGTGACATTCTGTCTTTCTAGAGTTACTTCCCTAATTAGGAATGAAGAAGCTCTATTCTTGTGAGTGCATCTATTTACAGTGGGCCACAATGCTTTAACTTGAGCATCCTTCTGAAAGACCAGTGTTAAAAAACACAAGTGCTCTTTTGGCAGAATTGTCTATGGGGAAGCACCACATTCCTAACGGTTACACCCTCTAAAAAAGTGTAGCTGCTTTTCCAGTATTGTTCACACTTCAGGATTCATTTTAGACAATAAAGCTTCTGCCCAGTGAGCTCTGGGAATTACAGTGGACAATAGGGAGGCATTCTTAGGAGAGTCTAATGATAGGAAAAAAGAAAAATATTTATTGCTTTTGACAGTTTCACAAGGGGCAAAAATCCTTGTCATGGTTAAAGTTTCCACAGCTGTTGGAGGAAGGGTGGTCATATGGACTAAACAGTTCAACTTCTTTGTTAAGAGGCTGAGCACAAGGGCCAAGCTGGGAAATTAAAGATTAAGTTCATTAAGGTAAGATAATTGTGCCTGCATTGTTGTTGATACAGGTGTAGCAACAGGGCCTAAATCGCTGAACCTGTTTACATGCAGTGCTCTTGTTAAATAAATTAGCTTACAGGGATACTTTTTAAAAAAATATATGTTTATTATTTGCACAGTACAAGGTCTCAGCCTTCATGAGTGTATTGCAAGTCTAAAGCTTCTGTGTGGAACAACGATGCATGCTGGGTTTATGCGGAGGTTGAAGACAGAGAGTTAGAAAATATACATGAACATAGAGCAATGTATCTATTGCCCAGAAAAGAAATGTTCACAGATTTCTGGCTATAATGTGCATCAGCTGTTTTTTTCAGCATAGAAACTGAAATGCCATTGTTATGCAAGTGAGTTGGAATTATTGGCATCAATTCCCTTGTAGCTTATTTGACATGGAAGTGGTACTCCTTATTAATCTGCAACTGTTGGGTGTTTGGATTCTTCACTGTCATTGTGTTATTTGTATTTTTTTTTACAGTTCAAAAGGTGGAGAGTTCATATCCTACAAGTAAACTACACTATAATATTATGGTTCTGCTATTACTATGAGTTAATAATAAAATAAGTTATATGAGTAAATATGAAGATTACTTCTTAAACTAATTTTAAAAACATGAATTAGCCCACATGTACCACTGTTATTTTGACATAGTGGATCAATTATCTATTGTGCTGTTGGTGTGAAGATTAAGGGTGATAATTTTAAAATGACTAAAAATAACAATTTATTTTTAATATAGCATGATAATTAAAATTAATAATCAGTGATGTGTATGTATCCAACATTTCACTATATATAATACTATAATCATCTGACAGAGAATATCTTATTTTAATTTTTGCATGTGTATTGCATATACCAATGAACAATCAGATGTGCACAATTGTTTTTCAGAACTGGTATTTAAAAAAATATTCTTGCATAATGTACCCTAGAAGAGAATACAATTTAATTCATTGCTCTTTTACCTGATATGATACCATTCTATATTCAATGCTGTGTTTGTTTCAGAATCTAAGATGGTTTTAATACAGTGTAATTAGACCATGCTGCACATCTCTACTGTACTCTTCCTCACAGTTTTAATGCAGGCGAAAAACAACATCAGTGTACTCACATAAATATGTTAAAAACCTATCTAGATTGGAATTGTCAGATTCTAATATTCTGTCTGCACTTTTCCAAGTAAGGCCAGTTCAAAGTCATGTTATTTGTCTCCATCTATCTAGGCAAACAAATAGGTTAACTTAAAATCCATTTAGAATGCATATAAAAGAAAATACTGGTCAAAGGCAACTTATTCATTCATATCAGAGGAGGTTTGCGTATTATCAGTGTGTGAAAAATGTCCAAGTTTCCCCTGGTTGGAACCAAAAATATATTGGACCCAATCCTGCTCACACTGAAGTCAATGACAAAACTCTCATAAACTTCAGTGGAAGGAGGATCAGTGCTTTTATCTTTCAGAGTGTTTTCATTCATTTTCTTCATAAATGTTCCCAAGGAGTAAATAGTAGATGAGGTTAAAAATGTGGAAAGCAATAGATATGCTAAATAGTAGAAACCCTGCTCTTTTGGAAGAGATTCCTGTTTATATGCCAGTTCTGGAGAATATAAATAATATATCTGTTTTTGTAAAGTTAATCACTCAAATAACATGTAACCTATTTCTGACATTATTTAAGTCAATGATATAGACCTGTTCTCCCTGGCTGGATAATAAATTCAGTTTTATCACATAAAGAATAATATGTGTTATATGGTTGGAAAATACATTCCATTAAATGTAACAGTATTTTCTCATTTGGACCTTTTTCTAATTACAAAAAATTGTATGTAGATTTTGAAATGTTATTAGCATCCATTATTTTTATATAATAGAATAATCATTAAAAAGAGTGAGGCTTTTTCCTCAAAAAGATGAATGGGTATTGGTTTATTGTTAAAACTGACTTTAACTTTTCTATTTTTCAAAAAGTATATTTCCAGCATAATCTTAAACAGAACTCAGGTGAGCTTGAAACTTCTATCGCCATATTTTTTCATTCCCAGTTCAAATTATTCTATTTTAATGTTTTAAAAGGATATTAAAATCAAATTAAAGTTCAAATGGCAATTGGCTTATAAACTATAACCTGTTTAACTGTTGTTACTGCATGTAGAAATAGCTCACTAAAAGAGAGAACTTTTCATTATTATTAAAGATATTGCTGAGGATGCAAATGGGAGAAGCAGGGAGAGCATGAGAGAATAATGACAAGCTATTTAATTGCCCGCAAAAATATACACAGCGTACAAGCATAGAGTAATATTTATGACAGCATCCATCAAAAATGATTATCTATATTGTAAATAATGTTGCTCCTTGACATATTTCCATGTGAAATATGTGTGTGTATTTCTATGCTATATACATGTTATATATACTTACATATATATTTATATTGATATGTCTATGTAATATATATGGGTGTATGTCTGTGCATGTACAATATATGTGTGTATGTGTTTATATAGTGTGTTGGCATATGTTTATATTCCATATGTGTTCATGTTTATATACACATTCATATTACCTGAAAAATAGAATATCATAGATGTCATATTAATTATCATTTTTTCTATCTTGCATAAAGATTTAACAATTTCAGTAATAATACACTACTGTACTTTGAGTTAAAGGTCTTTTTAAAGCACTGTTTCCATTATTCTATTTTGTCATCACATTGTCATAAAAAAGGCAGACTATAATTCTTAGAAACCTTTTTGGAATCTTTTGTTTTGGGTATTACTTGCTGAATTTGCAATTGAGCTTAAAGTTTGTAAGATTTCATTTGTTCTATAATTGACCACTCTTCTTGTGAAACAATTCATCCTTTGGGAAAATATATCAAATAACTCCCATTTTGTTAAACAAATCACTGAATATATTACAGTTGAGGTGAATGTTAATTTCTGCTTATGTTATTTTTGAGAGATAAAATAATAGAATTATCAAACAGAACTTTTCAGGTGCATGGTGACAATAAATGGAGTGCTATATTGTTAAATTAAATATTTTTTCCTGAACTTTTCCACAAAACTACTTTTTCCTTATTTAAGATAGATCATATTTTTAAATAACGTTTATGGATTATAAGAAGTATTTCATGCAAATCCGGTGTGTGTTTTCCTAATTTATAGGAATAACATTTTTGTAGAAAACCAAAATATGGTGAATATTAATAAGAAATCGATGAGTTAAATTTCTCTCTGTCCTCCACAGTACATCCTATAATTGTATCTCACTCAGCTGTGGATTCTGCCTCCCCTTCTCTGTGGATTAGTTATTTAGCTTGGGTATTAAGAATATGAAAAACCCTAATCTAAGAGTCATTATATATGTTTTTAATAATAAAATGTAGTATTGACAAATATTAATATTCTAAAATATGCTCATCTCTTAATAACATGATTAACAAATATACATGGAGTAGAAATAGTTGAGCCAATTCAGTACACAATTTTCACATAACACATTCTCCTATTGTGTGTGTGTAGTAAAATACTCTATTTTTTTCGTGTTTTAAAATGCTTTCAAAAGGGATTAAGCCAATTTTTTTGCAGAGCAACCTACATTTCACAGAAAAACTATTACTAAATGTCACTGGCCAAATTTCCTATCCTATCCTATCCTATCCTATCCTATCCTATCCTATCCTATCCTATCTCCTTATAGAAGTAAGACAGTACTGAAAATAGGGTTAAAAGGCCCTCATCCTACAATCATACATCTGAGTTTTACTTGTGAATAATTTCCTTTGAAGCTAATGAGATTGCTCATGTATAAATGTAGTCACGTGTTTAAGTGGTGGCGGGATGGAGGCCTTACTTACTGACCTGTTCAACCTATTTGTAAGATGATGTTGTCCAGCCATTAATCTGTGACATAGCTGAAAACTTCTCTGCAGAACAGCCTATTAGCATATCCATGCTGCTGTCCATTTAAAGATGTAGCATTTTATGCAGTTAGGCCTAGCTGGAAATTTCAAAGAGCGTGGAGTAATCTTTGGTGGCATTGGTCCCCTATTGTGAGAGATGAAATGCTGAAAGGGAAAAGTCATGGATTTTTGGTTGCACGTCCCTTGAAACTTATGGCTGTTCTCAAAATCTGACCAAATGTGTTTCTCTCTTTCTCATGTGAATTGTAGAGTAGAAGTTCCTCAGGATAGGTTCTGATCTTTGATCTGCTTCAGTACCCTGGTTTGAAAAATAATGTTTACGTGTCTGTTTTTGCCTACCCACATTGAGATATCGCCAATCCCATCCCTCTTGACTTGGAAACTGAGAGGCAGGGACTGGAAACAGAGCCCAGTTCTCATATGAGGCAGTACAGAGCATTCTCCATGCTGCATCCCCAGGACAGCCTCTAAGCTGGTTAGTTCAAATTTGTTATGTTACTGTGTAGATTATCAGGCTCTTATTCCACGGGACATTGAAAAATGCTGAAGATGTTCATGACTTAATGAACTTTAAGCATAGAGTTAATATCACAGTGGCTGACTTTGTATGTGATGTGTTTTCTGTATCCTTCCTTTTTTTAGGGAGGAGCTGATATTATGAATTATGACAAAAAGGGATGGTTAGCTGAAGAAAGATGTGAAGAAAGGGGCAAAGAATGAGATTCTGCAAGACTGTTTCCAAACTAGGGCATAGTACATGAGAATGCTTAAAGCCGAAGGTGGGGAAAAGAGATGACGGGAGCAGTAAAATATCTGAGAAGAGCACAGAGACAGAGAGGGAAGAGAAGGTGAAAGGTAAATGGAAGCATAAATGCTGTATTGACTTGAAGGTGAAGAGAATGAGTTTAAATTTCAAATGGTGGGAAACAGAAACCTCAGGGAGATATTAAAAACAGGGATTTGGTCAGAACAGGAAGAGGAAATTGACTCAGGCACCAGTTCAGCAAGTGATTCCTACATGTGTATGATTTTAAGCATATAAGTAATTTCATTGAAATCAATGAGACTTTTCATGTGTTTATACTTATGTGCCTTGCTGACTTGGTGCTTTCAGATATAGCATTTTGGATAGACTGGGGTAAGAAGAGGCATTGAAACCAAACAGAAGAGGGCTACAACAATCAACATGAGAGATAACAAGCACTTGGAGAAGGTGTGGGGGACAGGATTAAGGGCCATTATGAGACACACTTATTTTACTCTATGGAGGTTCACAAAAATATTTTCTATTATTTCATTCCACACTGAAACTTAAAACAAGAAAACACAAAACATGCAGCTCCAGTTCCTTACATAGCTTTACCTACATAGCAAATTAATACCTAGCAAGGGGTGAATCTACATTGCATAAGCTTACAGCACAGTAAGTGGCTGTATGGGTCCTGCTACTGTGCACTAAAAGTTCCATGATGCGCTGTGACACACTGCCTGGTGTGAAACATCAGTGAACACCACAAGGTCTTTTAGTACACAGCAGCACAGTCCATGTGACAGTTAGTGTGTGGCAAGCCAATGCGCTGTTGATCCCAACCCTGGCTTGCTGAGCTCTAACTTGCACATAAACAATCTCCCGGCTTGGTACTGAATTCCAGTAAATTTATGATTAACACACAACATCATAAATTGGCCAAGATTTGCTTGAAAGGTTCTGGAGCAGGTTTTTTGATAAATGTGGGGGTTTTAACTTCAGTGAGGCAGTGGGCGCAGAGATGTACAGGTGAGCCCGTATACAGGATCTAGAAGTAGGGCTTGGTTGTTGCTCTAACTTTTACTATACTTCTAATTAGAATAACTTACTTCATAAATCACCTTATGCCCATTTTAATGAGCTATAATTTTGTTCACTGGAGAAAGATTTATGTTTCTGGTTTATATATTGTTTAGACAGTTATGCACAATTGGGTATTTTTGCATATTGTAATTTTTTTTATAAAAACTTTCACCTGTGTCCAACTTACACTTTTATCTTTTACTAAATAAAAGAATAAAAATAAATAATACCTATTGTCCTATAATCCTCTTTCCCCATCAGTTCTCATAGCTACCTGGAGTCAATTCCCCAATTTTATCTGGACCTCCCTTTTCTACATTGCACCGAAATCCTCTTTTACTTGTAAGATGAACAGCAGTCTGATTAATGTGGTCTTCAGTGATGTTTGTGGTGGTGGGAGGATGTGCTCCACTTTTACCAGGATAGTTGTCTCCACTCCTGAATTTACATATGAGTCTTTATCATCTGACACACATGCAGAGGCAGTCAGCACACTCCGTACCCTAGTCCTCTATCTTTCTGCTTTCTAACTCTCACTAGGCCATGGTTTCCTTTTTATAGAAACTTTTTTCCCCAACATACCTTTCTTTGGCTGTTTCTTTAAATATGGTAGAGCAAAGGAGCTGGAACTCTATAGCCTCCATTTTGCAATTGGTAGCTGTTGGCTGTATTTCTCTTTTTGTCAGCTGGTAAGTCCCTTTCATGTTTCTCTCCAGTTTTCCCTTTCTTGTAGCTGAGAAGAAGTTTTCTATGGGAAAGAAAACAAGAGAAAGAAGAAAAGTTGTAATTGAGAACTTCAGAATTCCCTGCAGAACAGTGGATGGCCTGTCACATTCAAGAACAGGTGGTCAGTAAAGCTTTCCACTCTCCAAAAGTGGTTATTGCATTAGTGGTCAAATTAAAGGTCCATTTTGCAGTATTTTGATTTACAGGCCAAAAATCATGAGCAAATTCTAGAAAACTACTGTTTAGCCCCTCTGTGGCATGAGCTCCCAGTGCAATGCTCATGCAAAAGGACTTAATGGCATCTGGATATGTGTTAACAGGAGAATGTCCTATTGAGTAGAGAAGTGATATCTCTATGTGAAGGAGTACCGGTGAGACCTCCTAGAAAACCATGCCCAGTTTTTCTGTTCTTGCTTTGAAAAGGATGTTAAGAAACTGAGCACAGCTCAGGAAAGAGCTACAATAATGACTCCAAGTATAGAAAACACTTTATAATGAGGCTTAATGAGCTCAATCTATTTGGCTTGTTTGAGAAAGACTAGTATATGGTTTGATCACATACTCTAATCTATAGATACCTGCATAGAGTGAAAATTTCTGATAGATTTCTAGTGGGATTTTTAAACTAGCAATAAAATCCAATGGCTGGAAATTGAGGCAAAAAATATTCAAACTAGAGGCACACATTTTCAATAGCAAGAATAATCAGCATTATAAGAGGTGTAATACATTTTCTGTCATTTGGAATCTTACTCTAGTTCAACCACAAGTTATCAGCCTCAATTCAGGAATGATTGGGTGAACTTATGTGGCATGTGTTATTCAGGTGGTCAAACTAGATTGTATAGTATGACCCATCTGGCCTTTAAATGTGAATTTGTTTTGAGGTGAGATCAAAACTAATCAACTGCAGGTTTTCACTGATAGTGTTTTTGAACTAGAGCTTGCATTTATCTATCCAGGATTGTGCAAATGCAAGGAAAAGCTGCAGATGTATATTTACATTTGGAGAATGTACATTATAGGGAAAGCTTATATTCATGTTTTCTAATCCCTTTCCAAGGAATTCTTCCTGTTTTTTCTTGGAACTGCTCTCAGGGAGAAATGGTCTTGGGCTACAGAGGCTTTTTACTTTGCCCCATGAAATTCTGTGCAGATGTGGCTGAGCTATAAGGTACTAAATGTCTTCATTTCCTTTCTCTCACTTGCATTCTTCAGGAAAACTTCGGCATGCTGACAACATTACTGAACATGCCAATGGTTAGACTGATGCTGCCACACCAGCAATAATAGCAGTAGATTGCCAGGGAGCTGGGATGGAAGGGACAGAGCCGAGCCCTGAGTGACTACCCCTTGAGCCCATCAACCCCTTTCCTCCTTTCAGGAAAACCGTCTTCTCCTGGAGCCAGCTAATATTATTAGCCCTGTAACTTAAATAGCAGTAGTCCATGTTGCAATGCCAAAGGTTCACATTTTAACCTCAGGGATAATGTAAGATGATGGGTGTTGCAGTTCCATTATTTGTGTTGCAAAGTCAAATACTTGAAATAAGGAAATATTTATAACTGTGCAACCTTAGTTGGTCCCCTTGTGCATACATATAATGACACGGTCTTCAATAACCTAATCACATTTTTTCTACAATATCTCTGCCTCATTCAGTACACAGGACAGACATGGAGAGGGACTCAAGGTTACACTGGCAGCCATAGAGTTGATATTTCCTAACTTTTTAATGTGTCTTTGCAACTTAAATAATGAAGTTTTAATGCTGTATTTGTGTGTATCTAGATTAGGCTGCAATCTTTTAACTGTCTGCAAATGGTCAATCTGGTCTTTCTTGTCACCAGTTTCGGGCACTTTTCCTAAAGCATGAAAAACTGTATATGCAATGTTGGATGCCAGCATATGGAATGTATACTCCTTTTTTCTCTGCTGCTAGGAAATGAAATATAGATTCATGAGCCAGGCTGCTTTTATTGTTCTGTTTTGATTTTGTCATATGCACTGTGCCAGTTAATGTCAGCCAGGTTTATTGCAAACTTTCCAAACAAGTGGCTTTTTCTTATTTAAAAACAAAAACAAATCTAACACAAGCATGTTTCTTTACCAACTCAAATGTCATATTTTCTCCCAAAATTGCAATGACACATTTCTGGACTACTGACAGTTTTCCACTTATGTGTTTTTGTGCATTACATTCTCCCTACTAAGAGTGAGTTCACTTTTATAGCTATTGTTGCTATCACTGCTTTATCTATAATATTTTTGATCAGATATGTCTCTAGAAGAGATCTATATTTGGAAGAACACAAGAATGTGCTAGTACCGGAAGAAGAATATTGCTAAATATTGCTGCCACTTGTGTTAGAGCTACCCTTGAATTTTGCTTTCTTTCCTTTTGTTTTCTTTTTAAGATAGCTGTATCAACTTTTGTGGGAACAATTTGTGTCTAAATTTTTTGTGCAGGTGGTCAATTATGAATGCAAGTTTTGGTTACTTACAACTCTCATTACAATTTTGCAACCATGCTTCATAATTCAAAAATTCCATTGTGAAGTGCACCTGAAAAGAGAAAGTCCAAGACTTTGCCTGATTGTAAATAAACCTCGTAATCATGAAGCCATGGAACATATTACTCTTTCAAGTGTTTTTAAAGAGTTGGCTGAGGAGTTCATGAGGCTATTAATGTTGCTATTCAGTAAGTCTTGGAACACTAGATCAAAACTAATGTTATGTCAAAATTTTAAGAGTAAATGAGATGGCCAGGATAATTATAGACCTGTCAATCTGACATTGATCCTGGGCAAGAGAACAGATTGTTAATATGGAATTTGATTTAAAAAATTAAAGGAGGGTAGTATCAATAATGCCAATCAACATGGATTTTTGGAAAATAGATTATGTCAAACTAGCTTGATATCTTTTTTATGAGACTACATGGTAGGTATTATAATGGTAAGAGTGTTGTTTTAGTATACTTAGACTTTTGTAAGATATTTGACTTGATACTACATGACATTTTGATTCAAAATCTAGAAAGCCAGATGGTACACATTCAATGGATTAAAAGATGCGTATTTGATAGGTCTCAAAATGTAATTGCAAACATCATCACCATCATCAAACAGATATGTTTCTACTGGGGTTTTGCAGGGATGGTTTCTTTAATTTTTAATATTTAATATTTTTAGTAATGGCCTGGAAGAAAAGATAAAATCATCACTGATTGAGTTTACATCTGGAACAAAAACTGTGATGTGGTAAATAATGAAGAGGACAGTGGAATGTGGTGCCTGGTGAGCTGGGCACAAGGTAATGATATACCTTCTCATATGGGCAAATGCAAATGTATACATCTAGGAGCAAAGAACATAGGCCACTCTTACACGATGAGGGACTCTATTCTGGGAAGCAGTGCCTCTTGAAAAAGATGGTGATGTTGTGGTGGGTAATTAGCTGAACGTGAGTGCCTACTACAACACTGTGGCCAAAAGGGCTAACACAGTCGTTAGGTGCAAAAACAAGGGAATCTGGAATAGGAGGAGCGGGTTTATTTTCTTCTTGCTGCAACAACTGCTAGAATACTTTGTCCAGTTCTAGTGTCCACAGTTCAAGAAGGATGTTGATAAATTGGAGAAGATTTAGAGAAGATTCACAAGAATGTGTAAAGGATTAGAAAAGATGAGTTATGGTAATAGACTCAAGAAACTCTAGCTTAACAGAGAGAAGATTAATAAGTGACTTGATTATAGACAATTAAGACCTATACGAGGAACAAATATTTAATACTGGGCTCTTCAGTCTAGCAGAGAGAGGTATAACATGATCTATGGGCTACAAGTTGAAGCTAGACAAATTCAGACTGGGAAAAGTCGCAAATTTTAACAGTAAGAATAATTAGTGGTCATGGGGGATTTCCAATCACTGACGGTTTTTAAATTGAGATGACATTTTTTCTAAGGTCTAGGAGTTATTTGGGGAAGTTCTATGGCTTGTGTTACACATGCAGTCAAATTCACAATTGCCCTTCTCGCCTTGGAATTTATGAATCTATGAAAGGGCCTGAACCTCAGAGGTGCTGAGAACTTGCAAGTTCATTTGAGTTCTGGCATCTAGAAACATAACCCCCTGCCAGAACCATAGACATAGGAGTATATATTGTTTGTGGTGATAATACCACTTAGGGTTCATATGTCTCTATTAGCATTGACTCTCCATTTGCAAGAAGGAACTAAAAATTAAGTTAAGAGCTCTGGGTTGATTGAGCACATCTTTGGATGCCTCTTTCTCTTTTGGTGTTTTTCACTTGATAGGCTTAATAAAATGAAGCACTGAGATAACCATGGTAATAAAGGACTAGATATTAAATGACTAATAGTGAAAATAGAAACCATGTTTCCATCTTTACCCTGGTTCTCAAAATAAGTTGTGTGAATTCCCCAAGATGTGAGAATGGTGGCCTGCCTGTGAAATGCGCTATGTGCCAGATAGCAATTTGATAAATAAACCTCTATACATATTGGGACCTCATCCAAGGCCAGCTGAAATGAATGGAACCTTGAGGAATTCCCAGAGTTTGTTCTAGACTGTATTACATTTCAGAGTCAGGATCCCATATCAAAGTCTTCTATAATTTATAAAGGGCATTTCTCCTGGCTATAATTGAAACATATTTCTGACGTTTGAATGACAGAATACTTTATATAACAAAAGTCTATGGAGTTGCATTGCAGATTTCTGGGTCTAGGAGACCAATACACAATGAAAATATCAGAAATAGAGTTCTTTATGCATAGATTGTAGACATTTATTTGCTTTCTGTTTTATTTATGCACATTTGCATAGATGACATGCATCAAGTAGGAGATAAATATTAAGAGAAAATTTTAAAAACGGAAAGTAAAAAGGATTGAATTCACAGTCAGGCTCCTATAAGTCTTTAGTATGGGCATGAAGTTAAGACACAAAAGCATTAGCAATAACAACATTGTTGGGGGAGAGTATAAAAGAGAGACCATAAAGCCATTAAAGCAATTAAGAAAAGATTAAGGTTGCTTGTTGTGGAAAGACCTATTAATCAATAGGCCAGAAATCACAGCATGTTGTAAAATATAAGTCACAAAACAAGAGAACAAACAGGCTAAATATATCCCAAACCAAAGGATACAGCATTCTCATTAGTGAGAAATCATATTAATCACACAAGGAAATTAGATTATGTTATTGGCATTGATAGCTCCTTTAAGAGCTAGGTTTTCTCAGACCATTCTGCCCAGTTTGCACATGTAAGAATAACTCTTACAGAACACATCCTTAACTGACACAAAAATGTAGACATCTAAAAGCCATTGTCAACAGTTGGCATCAGACAATGATATAACACTAAAAAAGCCTCCACAATAAAAATGCAGAAACATCCTTGACTCCAGTGGGAATAGAGGGCACTCGGCACTTTGCATGATGGAGCCAGTTATTATTATTCATAGAATAATTACTCTCAAGCTACCATTCATATAGATCAGGCTCTTATACAAGATGACATGATGGCTGTCAGAAGGACAGAACACTGAAAATCCCTGGGTTTACAACATGCCTTTAGGCATATGATGGGGTCTTAATATGCTAATGAGAAAAGGAAGCAGAGTGGGAGGGCTACTTGCACATGTTAAAACCTGCACCTGAAATAATTGAAAATTGGCTTAGAGTGGGGGCGTGTAACCTGATTGATACCAGCTCTAGGGCACTTTGCTTCATCTTTAGCAACAGGGTCATCTTGTAGTCCCCAACAGACAGCTATTGTTGGGATGCAACTGACAGCTAAAGGGTTTGCAGAAATGACTAGAGTGAGTCAAGAATTTTTCAGCAAACTGTTTCTCTGTTTGTTTGTTTTTTAAAAAGCCGTTTCAGCAAAATGACACTACTTTCCAGGGTAGAAAATTTCCACAAATTTCTTCAGTAGAAATAAATTAGGGGGAAAACTGATACTGTTGTATTGGGTCATTTTGATGATTTCAAAAGAAAAAAATTCTAGTTTCCCATTTCAAAATGAGTTTTTTTGTGCAAATGCTGAGCTAATAATAGTTTTTAAAAATTAAA